GCCCAGCCCGCCCCAGAGCCTCGGGCATCGGGCTGTGGGATCCCCCGGGGCCACCCCGATGTCACACCAGGCTGTGGGATCCCCCGGGGCCACCCCGATGTCACACCAGGCTGTGGGATCCATCAGGGCCACCCCGATGTCACACCAGGCTGTGGGATCCCCCGGGGCCACCCCGATGTCACATCATGGGATCCCCACATTTGAGCTGGCACTGCCACAGGGCTCATGGGGTCCCCCAGAACTTCCCTCAACACCGGCACCAGGCCACAGAGACCCCCAGAGCCACCGCCTGCTGTGACACTGTGGGGTCACACAGGGCTGGCACCGCACTGCGGGGTCCCCAAGGACCGTCCCTGACACTGACAGCCTGTGGTGGGAGCCCCCGGTGTCACCCTGGCACCACTGGGGGTCCCCAGAATCACCCCAGCACCGTGGGGTTCCCTAGAGCCGGTGCCACCACGGCACCAGAACTGTCCCTGGCACCGGTACCACCCCTTGGGGACCCCCAGAGCCATCCCCGGCACCGTGAGAGCAGCAAGAGTCACCTCTGGTCCCGTGGGCTGTTCCCTGGGAAGAGACACAGCAAAGGGCCTGGGGACCCGGCTGGGTGAGGGACACTCGGGGACACAGCTGGTGACAACCCCAGACCTTCCTGTGCACACACTGAGGAGACAAAACCCAGGGCCTCCTTTGTTTGGGGTCCCTGTCAGAGGCACAAACTCAATCTGTTATTTTATTTAGTTATTTAATTATTGCACCAAGATTAAATTATGCCAAAGATCAGGACATCTGAGAATGTGGTGGCAAACCTGGGTAAGAGCTGGTGGTCCATGGGACCCCCCAGAAATGGCACCAGCAGCGCAGTGCAGGGACCCTGAGAGCCCCCACTAGCACCATGGGACCCCCAAGAGGTGGCAGCAGCCCAGAGGACCTCTGAAAGCCACCCATGTCACTGTGGGACCCCTGAAAGCCACCCCTGGCACCGCTGAGGGTGAGGGGTGACAGGAGCCACTGGGGTGGGCACCAGCCCCCCATAGATAAGGGGGTCCTCATGGTTCCAGGCAGGATTTGCGGACATTGGGAGCCAATGGGACACGGCGCTCGCTCCCAGCCCTGTTTGTCCCCAAATTCCAGCAGCACAGGGACAGCACCGGTCCCGTGAGGCGTCCCCAGGGGAGGGAACTCGCCCTGAACCAACCAGGTTGGGACAAATCCTCTGGAATTCCTATAAACCCGTGCTGAGGAGCCGCTCTGCCCCCACATGGAGCTGCCACGGTGCCCCCAGCCCTGACACTGGATGAGGGCATGGGGACAGCCCAGAGCAAAATTCTGGCACTCTGGGATGAGAAGAGGCCCCGAATGCAGCACCAACCGGAGAGTGGGGCCAGTAACACCAAAATCGGCCAAAATTCTCCTGGATCAGAAGCTCCCCGTGCCCCCTCCCAACCTGGTGCCCCCTGAGCCCACGCCTCACCTTGGAACTCGGTGTTGTCCAGCCCCCGGATGGCCTCCACGGCGTCCTCGGCCCGCTCCATGTGCACGAAGGCGTAGTCCTTGACGATGTCGCACTCGATGACGGGGCCGTACTCCTCGAACTTGGCGCGCAGCTCCAGGTTGGTGCATGCGGGGTTGATGTTGCCCACGTGCAGCTTGGTGGAGGCCTTGCTCTTGTTCTTGCTGGCCTCCACGTTGATGCAGACGCCGTGCAGCTTGTGGTGGTGCAGGTTGCGGATGGCGTCCTCGGCCGCCGTCTTGTCCTCGATGTGCACGAAGCCGTAGTTCTTGATGATGTCGCACTCCAGCACCTTCCCGTACTGCTCCTGCTCGAACAGGGAGCGGATCTCCTGCTCCGTCGCCTCCCGCGGCAGGTTCCCGATGAACAGCTTCACCATCGCGACCCGCCTGAGGGGTGGGAAGGAAGGGGGGGCTCGGTGAGACCCTCCCCACACCACCCCCGGCCCTGCTGAGGGTTCGGAGATGCTCTGAGGATGGGGAAAGGGATGGGAAAGGTTCCCCCCACCTTCTGTAGATCCTCCTCCAGCTGATTCCCGATGGGTCCCCCCCATACCCCGAGTTGTGGGGGGGCCCCTCAGGACACCCTGAAGCGGAGACCCCCTCAGGACAGACCCCGGGCCCGGCTTCTCACAATGAACCGGGAGACCTTCAGGCCCCGGCAAGTCCCGAGCGGACTCTCAGTCCTGGTTATGCTCCGTGAGCCCCCAGGTCACGGAGGGGGACTCAGGTGTCCCCCAGACCTCACCCGGTCTCCGATCTCGGGTCTGAGCCCTCTCCTAGGACCCTTCCCGAGGCCGCAGGACCCCGTCCCGTCCTCCCCCACATACAGCAGGGCCCCAGCGTGGCCCCAGCTCCCTCCCCGCTCCTTCCCAGCCCCTCCCGGTCCCATCCGGGTCCCCCCCGGGGCCCCCCAAGCCTTACCGCGCCCCCCCCTCGGCCCGGCACTCGATGACGGCAACAAAATGGCGGTAGCCGCCTCACGCGGAGCCACGCCCATCGCGCGCACTGATTGGTCAAAAACTAAGAAGCCGTGTAAAGCGATTGGTCGACGATCAGCAAAGCCCCGCCCAGCGTCGGGCCCGGATAGCGTCAGGTACAAAACGTTCCCGCCCTCGCGGCGGCCAATGAGGTGCGGTAGCGCGCCGGATGTGAGGCAGGAGGCGTGGCCTTCGGGGCAAGGCTGGCCAATCAGAGCACGGCAAAGGGGCGTGGCCTGGCGGCGCCGCGGAGCCGTGAGGGTCCGAGCGAGGGGGCCGGGACCGAGCGGGAGAGACCGGGACCGACAGGAACACGGACAGGCACCGGGACAGGCACC